AGAGAGAGAGAGAGAGAAGAAAAAATATACTGAACGATGAATGGAATCTTTCCTCGAGGACTTTGTGTCGAGACGCTTAATCATTAGGAATGATACTGAGATTTTGATTGCGATATTTGAGAGTTAAACAACAAGCTTCAGCTTGATATCAAAGTAATTTTAAACGGTTTTATTCAGGGTAATTCTTCTTAATAAAATAAGCTTCTTCATCTCGCTCTCTCTTTCCTCTTTATCGAGCACTCAGTGTTGAGAACTCAGTTCCTATGAATTTCACGAGATAATGAGACAATAATTAACTCATTAAGGGTCTCATTAACACGAGTACAAGATTATTATAAAAAAACAGCAGCTTCTGTGATTAAAAGAAGAATGTAGTTCATCACAGAGAGCTGTAAATTTTCCAATTCTTTTTTAATCACTGTAAATATAGACAGAGATGCGAGTAGTAACAAACGAATATATCAGACAAGTCGTTGAAGTTCCCATTTACAATATTGAAAAAGCAAATTCAAACAGATTTAAAATAACGTGATTGATTGATTCATTGTTGTGAATAATTTGAAACTAAATTACAAATACAATACAGATCAAATTCAATAACATTCAGGATTCATTAATATAAATTCTTTGGTGGCAAAGTTTCATCTCTCGTCGACGATGTTTGATGTTCGATCTCGCTGATTAAACAATAAGTTAAACAATAAATTTTCATTATCGAGTCGCATTAATATAATCTACATGTCAATTATATGCTCAAACATGATCGTTTGGCGGTTGGACTTTAAAAAGTAACAAACTATAAAATTGATAAGTAATTCATGAAGACTAAGCGGAAAGAGTAAAAAAAAAAAATAATTAAAAACAAATTTCCAGATGAACTGCATCGCATTAGCGTAACACTGATCCTTAATGAATTAACACCCGCTGGTCTAAAAATAATAAACAAATTCCATATAACAAAATAAAAAGAAATAAAATCTAATTGAAGAAGCTGAATCTTCCAGGTATGAAAAAAGCCAAGTTCAGATGCTTGTCTGTTAACAACAAGTATAATAACTCACCGGTAGCCGAGCCTGACGACGATGATCTCGTTTGATTGATCCTCCGAGCCTCCTGTTGCTTCACCCGAGCAACTCCACCAGGTAACAGCGCAGAGTTCTTCGCCATAGAAGAGGAACTATTCGTCGACGAGGAGGACTTCACATCGATCTTCTTCATCTTATCTCGAATGTCTTTGTCGTCGTCTCTCGCGTCTGTTTCGTCTGGCTTCTCTTGGTCCTTCACCGAGCTCTTCTTCATCTTGATCCTGACTCTTCTTCTTCTTCTTTTCTTTTCTTACAGGAAGAAACTCGCAGTTCTATATCCTCTCCGGTACGAACAGCAGTGTCATAGCAGAGCATCAAATCTGAGGAAACAGAAGAAAAAAGACTGTTGCACTCGCATGCGTTTGAAAAACGATCTGCAGTGAATGAAGGGTCAAGGTTCTTGTTTATTGAAGCCGGCTTCGATGAGTTCAGCTATTGGCATTCGCGCCTTTGTCGTTTCGCGTTTGATGTTTGCGAAGTGACTTTTTTTTTCTGGGGATATTTATATCTATGCATTTGTATCTTTGCAGGTGGGATCAAACAGATAATATCATCGTGTCGAGTTCGAAAAGAAATTCGGGAAAATTTCTTTTTTTTTAAATACCGCGCTAAAATCAAAGGGAGAATGGCTCCGGATAAATGTGAAAATTTTTTTTAACTTTAAATATTTATCCGAATTTGTATATGTTTTTATGGAATTTTTATAAACTTTTCCCTAAAAAATGATAGACAATTTTAAAACAGACAATCTAAATGCAAAGTTGAACAGATGTGCAGTTTCAGAGAAAACAAAGTTCAAAGTTTTAGATTTACATTTATCTGAGGTAAAAGAAACACTCGCCGATTGTTTGAATATTAAAAGTTTCTCCAACGTAATATTCCACAGATGTGAAGATAAACTTGAAGAAGAAGCAAAAGTACTTTTACTTTTTTCTTAACTGACTTAAAGAACTAGGATTGAAGCAGAGTTTCAAATGCTAAGTATATTCAATTTTTTTCTTCTACATCACGTGCAATTTTTTTCTTCTCTGTGCCTACAGTCACATCTATAATCTTTTAAAATGCATCAATGCGTTAATAAAAAACTACAAGAAAATTCGAGGCAAAAATTAATTAATTCGCTAAGAAGAAACTGCGAGAAACACGTAGCATATGACATAGCAACAACATAGTTAGATATAGCATAACAGCAGTAGGTCGGACGAGTGTGTAAGTATAGAAACGTAAGTAAAATAAAAGCTAACAATGTCTTTTGGCAGCTGCCGGAAGTTGCTGCCCGCATGTGAAACCGCTGGACAAACGGAATTTCCTCACGCTCGCTTAAATTTATCGCAATGTGACGCGTGTATCACAAGGAAATAATCGTTGTGAAAATATAGAAAGCGAAACCAGGTAACGAGCGAACGAAATATTTGTGCTGCTTTCTCTTCACTTTTCATAAATTGCAGGAACAACCGATTTCCATCGAAATTGTCATATCGCATTAGTACGAAAAGTAGGTAAAAATTTGTTCCTTCTAAAATTATTAAATCAAAAATATTTAAATAAATTATATATATAAATAAATTATATTATATATAATATATATATTATATATAATTATATATTATATATTAATATATATATTATATATAATTATATATTATATATTAATATATATACATTATATTATATAATATATAATAGTATATAATATTATATATTATATAAATTAATAATATATATAATATATACTATATATATATTATATATATAATATATTATATATATATTATATACATATATATTATATATATATATATATAGCCTGTGTGTGTGTGCAGTGAGCTGAAATTTGAAGTTACTTCAATACTTATTTCAAGTATTGGAGTAGAAAAATTCGAGTTAGCAAAGGAAGAGATTTAAAAAGTAATGAAAAAAGAGTAGGAAAATTCAAGATATCGAGAGAGAAGAAATGAAAAAATTCTTCTGCCTGGGAATTTGATGTGGACACGTCACGGAGAAATTAAAATAGGTTGCAGGAGTGGGAGCGAGACACAATGGAACGTTGGAACCGGTTCAATAAACCGATATCCGAAATACATCGCGGGCCATTAAATAAGCCTGTCAGTAAACGTACAACAGAGAAAGATATACGATGACACGAGGTTAAAGACTTGACACGACGTATTGGAAATACGGTGCGGTGGAAGGAAATTCAAAGCAGCTGGTTAACTTTATAATATTCATAGCGCGCATCGCAAATCTTGAATGGATAATACACTGATTAGCAAAACAAAATGATCGACCCTGGCACGAAGCAGGAAAATGTTAGAATAATATGTTGATTAATTTCTTCAGTTTCAACGTGAACAGTCATGTAAACAAATTATCGAAATTACGATATCAAAGAACGTTGAATAATTTTGATTAGAAAAAAAAAAAAAGTTGCTTCGATGATCACGATGTTATAAATAACCGAACTATAATTAAAAGAAATAGCAGGTAAAACGAAGTAATTTTAGACGAATGTTCAATTTCAACGTGAGAGGTAACATTGGGCAATCTCACATCTCAGCTTTCTAGGAAATTATTAAATGCTCGACCATTTGGCACTGTGTTTTTTTTTTTTTTTGCAATTCAACGTTAATGATCTGAAAATTTTGAGTATTTATATAACGAAATATTGTCGACTCACGTTGTCTATTGTACACTGTACCGTGCTCTAATTGCATTTTAAACGAATAGCGAATGGTTCGCTTTTAGAATCGATCTTTAATGAGTAATTTGTAAACGATCTAACAACGTGAAAATGTCGAGCAGAAGATTTATTTCGTGTGACTTTCCATGCAACGAATAGAAGAGAACAGTATTACAGAACTAAATAATTGAACACAAAAGCCGAAAGTAAACAGGCAGAGTTGGAGGACTCGACTCACTCCCATCTGTTGAAATATTAATAAAACTAAGTTAATCGAGGCGAGAGTGGCGTAGTGGGCGGGAATAGAAACATAGGTGAGGACCGAGAGACGTAGTGAAACGAGGGAATGGCTGGAGGTTCCCCCCCAAGTTCGAGGCGACACCCAAATTATCCTCGTTCCCTCCGATTTCTCGGAGAATTCTGCGAGAAGTCGTTCCATTGTTTTCGACGTGCCGCGACCGAGAGAACGAATCCCGAAACAGAAGATGGAAAATCGGTGGACGAGCGAATGACGACGTGAGAGAGATAACGCCGCGGCACTCGGCGCGCGCTCGCAAGCTAACCTCAAAAATGTGGTCGGCGATCGTGAGCCGCATTTCAGGATGCAGAAGACGCAGAAGTCCAGTGTTCACCGCACTATAACGCCGTGTGGTCAACGTCGGGTCACGGGACGTGACCAATAACGAGATCACCAAGGGTAACGAGAGTTCTTTTGTCGAGTGATAAGGAAGCAAAGTGGCCGCAAAGTGTGACATTCACCTTTCGTTATTCACGCACGTTCGCGCGCACATCGACGCCATGCCTTCGTCCCCACCCTTGCTGCCGCTTTCGTTGATGGCGAGCGAATCGGACGCTATCTGGCGGCGTCACGCCGACTGCAGCTGCTCGAAATTTTCGGAATGGCAGACAGCAGTGGCCACATTAACTCGACAATGCCTGTGATTTTGCTTTGCTAGCTGACCGTCGGCGCCCTTTCCTCCCCCCTCTAGCGACTGTTTGCAGCTGATCCTCACGCACAAAGTGATTGTTCGAATTTTCCACTCTGTATGTGTGTGT